TGTTCGTAAACGAGCAACCAATAATTGACCTGAACTCTCCAGAATTTCAAAGTCCTGAATATAAAGAACTAATTGAGCACATTAAGGAAAACGCGGACCGTTTACCTGATTTAAAGGTACAAGATTCTCACATTTACAAAAGAACTCTGCCTTCTGATGGCGATATAGTCCATGAAAACTTTATATGGAAACTTTGGGTTCCATATAACCTCACCAACTCGTTAATAGCCAATGCACATGAACCCACCATCAAGTCGCATTGTGGCATTGGCAAAACCATAGCTATGTTGAGACAGTATTTTTATTTTCCTAAAATGGCAACTCAAGTTAGGGACTACATTAACAACTGCGTTTTATGTAAAGAAATAAAGGCCCCTAATAAGGTTCTACGTCCGGAAATGGGATCGGAAACTGTAACTCTCCGACCCTGGCAGAAAATTTTCATTGATTTTATAGGACCTTTTCCTAGATCTAAGCTCGGGAACGTATATATATTTATCGCCTTGGATCATTTTTCTAAGTTTGTAATTACTAAGGCAATGAGAAAGGCAACCTCTTCGAATGTTGTGAAATTTTTGGAAAGTGAAATATTCCACAAATTCGGCGTCCCTCAGTTGGTCCATTCGGACAACGGTAAACAATTTGTTTCTTCTGAATTTTCTAACCTTTTGTCCAAGTATGGTTGTATGCACATTCGTAATGCGATTTACTCTCCCCAGGCGAATGCGTCAGAGAGAGTAAACCGTTCGATAATTTCGGCCATCCGTGCCTATGTTTCCGAGGATCAGCGTGACTGGGACCGCCATTTATCATCTATCGAGTGTTCATTGCGTTCAACGGTACACAGTTCCACCGGATATTCGCCCTACTTCTCGCTTTTTGGAGTAAATATGATCACCCATGCGAGCGCTTATGAGGTGGCCCAAAAGTTAGGTGCGTTAGAGGATGGGGACGTAGGTATTATGTCTAAGAATAACATGTTGGAATTAGTCAGGAATAAGATCAAGGAAAATTTGCATTCGTCTTATGAGAAAAGCGCGGAACGTTACAATCTCCGGTCTAGGGTCGTAAGGTTTCTACCAGGTGAAGAAATACTTCGTCGAAACTTTGTATTGAGTGATGCTTCTAAGAATTTAAATTCGAAATTGTGTAAAAAATTCGTCAAATGCAGGGTGGTGAAACGAGTAGGGAAGAGTCTTTACGAGGTAGAAAATTTAGCGGGTAGAAAGGTAGGTGTGTACCATGCAAAAGATTTGCAACACATATCTCCGTAAGTTTTTGTATAAGTACCATATCTACCTACCATCGACTTCCCGATCCAGCAGCTCTGTGTCAGAACTCCGGTTCCTGATCGGGTTTGTTGTGTCAATGTTTTGTATATACCAAAGGTCGACTTTTTTAAATACCATGATTGTTTTATTTAATGACAGTGTTATAACCTTACTCGGTTGCGAAAATAGATTGGCAAGTCATATAGTATGACAGATCAAGGAGGGAGAAAAAAAGGAAAGAAATCAAGAGGACACGTTTTTTTTTTTTTTTTTGTGAAGAGACGTCGACGAGAACAGAACAGTAAAAGATTACGAAATACGAAAAATAAGTTGTAAAAGAAGGTGAACACGTGATTAAGGAATAACTGTTTCTGTCGTAAAATATTTTTGGCGTGGAAAGTTAACCCCAGCATATTACTGCGAGATTATATTAAACATATATATATATATTAAACATCTTGCTGCGGCTACATATTGCTCTAGGCGGAGTATAATTAAACATTCGGTGGCGTTCCCGGCACCTGTTGATGCTGCTAACCACCTGTGAATGCTCCTAGCAACTGTGGACGCTCCAGACAACTTGTTGGTACAGGTTTTACGTACCCACAGCATCTAGTGTCTTGGCAGGATTGGAAGCTAGCCTGACGAGAAAAGACATCCTGGCAAATATTTTTGTCGATGGCAAGGAAAACTTACCACACCAGCGTGTCGGATACGTCGATGACGTATGCAGATAAGTGAACGATTCAAATTGATGAGATCAATTTAGTTTATTAGAAACTTATATATATGTTTTAATTCATTATTACACAATAAGTCTTTTTAAGTACTCTTATATTTTTGTATATTTTCCCCTTATTTTACATATTTTAACCAATTATTTGTAAAAGTGGTTAATGCCTGAAAATCGGCCCCATTTCCCATATTTGGGAAATAGTATTTGTCTACATTCCTTCTTTATCGAGCTCGATCAATTAGGTCCCTTGTTGATATTTTAAAGCCCCGAATACCTCATTGGTACCATAGCACGTGATTTAGACACCAATTAGCCTCGGTTATATTTTTGCCACGTTTCTGGCATAAACCACCAGCACACACACACCTTTTCGGAGGTCATTTTGTAAATTGTTATCTTAATTATTAATAGTTTAATCACTTAAGAGATTCGTTTTAAGTAAACCATGTACATACTTTAAGATATGTGCATTATTTCCAATATGCCGATTATATCTAATTTAAGGTTGATTTCCATAGTAATAAATATGTTCATTTTTGAATTTGAAGATAATTCCATATTAGTAATGTGCTAAACTTTTCATAGAAAGGTAACGTATTAGCCTAGCAGGAGTAAACCAAGGCATCAATGGGGCACTCACCGAACCTGTGGGCTGCCAATGGGGATTGCTGATAAGCAGACAATCCATTTGGGTGGGCAAATGGCAGTGTCGATAACACCTTGACACTAGACCATCGAATTCTGTCCATTTCCGTACTGTAATCGTACATCTTCAGTGGTACTCGTTTTTTTTATCTTGTTGTTGTGTTGTTGCACATGGTACATGTCCATAAAGAGCCTACGCACCGTAAAGCTAAGCCGGATGAACAAGTAAAAGTACCACATGGTAATGTACCAATTATTTAACATCGTAAAAGCGACCTTTTAACTAGTAAACCCCCGCTCACACAACAAATTAATTCTTGAGAATGACTTCAGGAGTAATGTATTTGAAATCAAATAAAAGAGACATTCCGTCTATAAATAATATGTGTTAAAATCATCACTTCTGTAGGTCTTTTCTTTTTTTTTTTTGCTGAGATATAGAGATATAGGTTGAATATTATTACAGGTTACGAAGGAATAGTACTGGGCAAGTTCGACATTGTTTACGACAAGGGGCAGATTGGCAGATTGTTAAACATAGGGAAATATCATATTGTAAGGAATCAATATATCATATTGTAAGTTTTGCATATATTTTATGAACATTTATGTAGGGGGTAAAAAATCTAAAGAAGAAATGTTCGTTGTTTTTGCTTTTAAAAAAGTATAAATGTTTTTTTAAAAATATGTTCCATAAATAATTTTAGAACTTAGATTTTAAACTTCTTTCAGAATTTTAACCAAAATTTATCACATTTTCTAAAAGAATACGTTGATCAAAGCAAGTTATACACTTTGATAATAGCAATAGGAATATTTTTTCAGACATTTGAACTATAAAAGTAAACGTTTATTTTGCAGCATAAGTATGCAATCTTTCCTTCAATGGTTCCGGTCGAATTTCGGCCGCGGGGCGAACTCTAGTTATTATTAAAAGAGGTTTCATATTGTACGTTTTTTTATTAATATAAAGTATTATTTTATAGTAATGATGTTTTGAAAAATTTTTAAATTCTAATTAATTTTCAAAATAATTGTTTATAATGTTCAGTGTAAATAACCCCTTTCACTTTACAAACCAAAAATTTCGTTAATGAAAAAATTTTTATTAAGAATACTGCGAAATTTTTTAAAATTAGATTTTTTCCAAATAATTTTTTTGAATTATTTTTTAAAATAATAGAAAAATGTATTCAGAAATTTTGGAAAGCAATTGTATTAAAGACAAAACTGAAATATTTTTTCAATGTTATTTGTATTAATAAAATCGCGGAGCGGGTTTAAGCACTCCTCATGAAGGCAGATAACACTAGTTTACACCGATTTTGTTCATGATATAAAACCTATATGGATGTCTTTATTTTGGCCGTCTAAGTCCAGAAAAAATATTTAAAAAAGGTGGGACGTTAAATTTTGGAATTAAAAAAATAAAATGCTAAAAAAGTGTTAAATTAGGAGGAAAAAAAATTAATATTTTGAGTTGTAGTTTTTTTATATAAAAAATTTTACTGGTCTTACTCACAACACTCTAACAATGGATTCCTGTCACAAAAATATTAAAAATTAAGCTGTAATAATCTTAAATCTTAGTTTATAGCTGCCATTTTTATCACTCACACTTCCAAAAGTTTTTAGGATAAAGTATAAATGAGAATGTAAGAAATGAGGGATAAATTCAGATCCGTAAGTTTGTAATTCAGGAATAAAATGTGAATAAAATATTCGAAATTTATTATTTTTTTTTTTAATTTAAAAAAATGTATCAAAAACATTACTAAAAATTGGCCCCAAAAGAGAGAACTCTGGTAAAAAGTGAGTTAATGAAGACCTAAATTTTATATTATTGACTTTTTTCTAGTTGATTGTTAGGTTTCCAAAACAGGTGCAAGCACCCATCTCATTTTCAAATATTTTTTCAGCACTACTGAAGGTAGAAGGAAGATGGCAAATGAAAACCACTTTATCTCAAAATTTCGACGTATAGGAAAAAAATTGTTAATTAACCACCGGACATAGCCCTTTCCAAAAATATATGTTTCATTCCATGAGCAAACAAAAAATATTAATTTGTTAGCTTGTGTAATTATTTATCCACATACGTATCATAAATGTTCATATGGATGTCATGGGTCCAGCTATTGCAGTTTTTGTAATATGCGAAATTTAATCTAATCATAATTTTTTATTTTTATTACTAGATATAGACAGATGTTAATAAAAGTGTTAAAATTTTAGTAATTATGTACATACTTCATGGGAGGTTTCAGCTTACTTACTATATATAATATTTATTACATATGGTAGGTGCCACGCCCCCAATGCATTCATATATATGTTTTTCGACTTACCTGATTGTTATTTCCAAAACTTTTTCCTAGACGAAATTCTAGTAATGGAGACCCTTCCTGATCGGAAAACGAAAACATGAGAGGTGACACTTCTCTGGCATGTTCGTGTTCATCAAACTGGCCAGATGCTATAAGGTTTGTACCCTCTTGCCTAAAAATAAGTGGCAGTCCAGTTTTATTTATAAGCCAAATTGGAGCTCCGATAAATATTTCCATTCCTTTCCCTTGAAATGATTGTATTGATATTCGCAAAAAGAGCTCTCTATTAAGAACATCAATTAATTTTAACTTCGGTTCCACAATCCCAGTATGCCCCATTGGAATTTTTAATTGTCCAGAAAGTTTATAATTGTCTAAAGTTATGCTGAGGCAAAATGATTCATTGATGTCAATAGAGTAAATTTCTACTTCATCAGAAGCATTTAATCTACCCTGAGTATGTCCCATAATTTTGAAGATTAAATCACAACACAGCAAGTTTTTCAGCTTAAGGGGTGGTATAATAGTAATAGTGTGACCTGGCATTGATAAATTGTCTCTTATTGGATATTTATCTTTTTTTATTTCAGTTAATACATGAAATGGTATTTTATTTGGGGAGTAACACGAATGTATATCCTGGATACTGTCATTTGAATTACAGTGAGTCCATTGAATAGATCTTGTACAGAAGCCATTGTCATCTACTTGCCAATTATTATCCAATGAATCAGTACTTTCTCCATAAAGATCGGCGTTGTTATCATTGGATTCTGCGCCAGAGAGCGGTTTTAGGTAGATAGAGGAATCAACAAATCGCAAAGGTATTGTTATTTTTTCTAGTGGGTTTAATGTCATCAGATTAGATTCTTTTTCATTTTTCAGCTTCATGCGTAAAAGAAATGTTTTCATTGTATTGTTTACTGCATTTAAAGCTGAACGAACTACAATTAATTTTTGTGCCGATCCAACAAGTGAGATTTCAAAAACAATTCGGGCCTTTTTGTTATATTGCATATCTAGATTGGCATAACGGAAAAATGTTCCAACTTTATCAATTGAAATGGGACCAATTAATGTCCAGCCATGAATTTGAACAAGTATCTGATGCATGTTAAGTTTATGAGAATCCAAATGTCTTAATTTACTTTGGGGACCAAAATCAAAGGGAACTACTTCATTGTGTTGTGCAGATATCCAGTTGCACATAAGATCTTGTTGTGTTACTTCTGTACGTGTTATGCCACCAGCATGCGAAAAAAATATTTTAAATATAAGTGGTTCCCCGGTTAAGTTTTTTAATGCAAATGGAACAAATGGAAGTCTTCTTCGAACATTAACGTTTGTACATTGGATGTCATCGTTTTTAGAAACAGACCGTTTAAAATAATCTTCTGTCCAATTTTTATGGACTAAATCACATAACTCCAAAAGTGTAGATGTAATATTACATTTTAACACTTGTTTGCTATTTCCTTGTATAAACAATCGTTTTGTTTTATCTACTATACTTTTTGAGAACTTCCAACGACCCGTACACTGCCAAGGTTCAATTATTGGCTCCCAACCGCTTAGTCGACGATTGTAGTAGTCACTAGAAATCACAGCATCAATTTCTCCCTCATAAAATTTAATATTTTTATCATCTTTTGTCTGAATTCTTTGACTTATAATAAGATTAGAGAGAGAAACTTCTAAAAGAGGCACATCAGCGTCTAAGCAATCGTCGATTATACACACTGAAATAGAACTAACGTTCAACATAATGCAATTTATTTCAAGCGCAGTATTTGAGTTCTTATATTTATGTTGTGATAACCAAATAGCTGCTTCATTAATATTAAAACCATTGACCTCCATTGCATGCCAACATTCGGAATGTTTAAAGCCCATTGCAACTAATGGTGCAATTTTATTGTAGTCATTACGTTGATTCGAATTCCTTAATACATGTTTGTTTGTTTGCTTTGGTATAGATTGCATAATTCGAGAAAACAACATAGCATCGTTGTAAGAAATTCGCAAAAAAATCTTATTTTGAATCTGAACTTGAAAACAATTGTTACGCACCTCCATATTAAGCGTAAAAGGGTCAATAATTGACTGAGAACTTTCGTTTTCAGATCCCAAAATACAAGAGAATATTTCTAGGTGATTTATATCTATTGAAATAGGAACAATACTGTTTGGTTTGTAAGAATAAACCGTTGTGCTTTTCAATATTATAGCATTTGTATCAATCTGATCATTGTTTTCAACAAACACTATTTCGGAATTAGTAATATTTAGCACAAATTCATATTTGGAGTTGTCCTCCAAACATGGAGCCGATGTCTTCTCCGATTCTTGTGGTGTTGAAATACTTGAAATTATTTTCTGCTTTAAACTTGTTTCTGAAGTCATTTGTGGTTCTTCCTTCAAAAAGTTATTTAATTTTTCCAAGTAATCTAGGATGGCCATTATTCTCATATTGTTTAAAAGTATTGTATATTTAGATGTATCGTTTCGTTTCCGGCTATGGATTTCAGCTTGTACTACATTTGTAGAGGAACCTTCAACAGATGGTTTTAAAATATACTTGAATATATTCTTTGAACTGTACCCCGAAAAATGATTTCTAGCATCCATAATTAGAATTTCACTTGAAATTAAATCAATATCCTGTGAGCCATCACTAAAAGAGTCAATTTCCAATGTTGATTTTATAAACTTAATACAGGCCAATGTATCGTTTGAATAATAGTTGCTGAAATCAATTGATTCAGCTAAAGATATAATTACATTTTCTAGCAGAAAATTCATTGATAAAGTAGTCCAATTGGATGGGTTATTTTGATGGGATACATTTACTTTTGTCATAGAGCAAAGTTTTTCAATGGATTCACTAAGATTAACTTGAAAGCTGTAATATACATCATCTATAGTCTCCCCTAAGTTGTAGTTAAGAAAGCCTCGAATAAGTTTGTATTGTTGCAAATTAATTAGCCCGTGAAGCTCCGAAAGTGTCCCTTTTACTGTTATGTCCGGAATATTATGACTTACATCTGATTCAGTATTTCTTATTACTTGTAACTTTAAATGACATTTTTCTTTAAATATTGTATTGCCTAGCTTCACAATACTGAAATTTCCAACGTGAAGTATATTTGAATTAGTTTCAACTGTACGACTCCTTTGATTACTGTTTTCACGCTCACCAGTAAGAACATTTATGTTTACTAGTTCAATACTCATTAAATCGACAATTTCATTATAAGCAATAAGTTCCATTCGCTTTTCATTTAAAGACGTCAAATCGTTTGCGTAGTGAAAACTATTTACTAACGTAAATTTGCCAAGATCGACAATTAACAGTTGGTTACTATTGTAAGAAACCGGTAACAGAATAATTGGAGATTCTGCGTGTATTTCCAATCCAATTTTTACAGTACTGTTCAGATTTTTCCTTGATCCTTTCTTTTTAATTTTAATCCGATTCATTACAGGCTGAAATGAAAAAAATATGGGTTAAATAAATAAATTATACGCATCTATGACAGTAAGAGTTACGTTCGTCATTTGCTGTACTGTTTCATCAGTGTTATCCAATCTTTGAAATAATCTAGCGTGAACTACTATAATAATTAATTATTGCCCACATTTGAACAAACAAAAAGGTTCCATGTCAGGATTTTAACGTTCATAACTGGTTTTAAAATACCAGTATTGCGAAAAATTCGATTCAAATTATTTCTTAAAGGAACCAAAATCTTCCAATAATTTCATGCAGATTCATCCACAATTTACTCTCCCTCTTACAAAACATGAGTTCAATACTTGCAATCTTTGGACTAAGTACTAAAAATATTATTCATCTAATGTTCATATTTCGCACATTTTACCGATTTTATAAGATGTCACTTTTCCAATTCAAAATTCAATGGTATCACTTGTATAAGACACCTTTCATTCATCACTTTCATTCAACCACAGGCACTACGTGGATCCCGAAGGAACCTCAACCAACTGACCAGCCAGGAAAAGTCCTGCGGGCAACTGGCCACCCGTAGTACCATATTATGTGGTTCTCTGGTTAGACCCCATGTCAAATCATTCCAAGGACTAGCCGGGGAGTGAATTGACATCCCGGCAGACTAGAGGTACTGGTAGCACCTCTTTACCCCGGATTGCAACACACCACGATAAGGGTCTTTCATCAAGGAAACATGCTCATGACGCAGTAGCACAAGCTCTATTAACTACTTGGATATCGCGATTTGGTGTGCCTTCGAAGACTACCACAAATAAGGCTCAACAGTTTGAATGCCTGCTGAAGAATTACAAATGATAATGTTTGGTCTTCGTTCGATTTATAAAGAGGACATGAAGGCCACACCAGCCGAAATGGTGTACGGTAAATCATTTCGTCTACCTGCAGAGTTCTTCGTCTCACCAAAAGAAATAGATAACGATGCACAGTGTCGGATTTTGCCAATTTAGCTGGACTAAACTCAAAGGCAAAAAGCCTTTGTTTGAATTCAATATGAGAGACAATTGTTTTAAATAAATAAGTAAGTAAAAAGTAAAGAAATGTGATCCAAAACAGAATAACTGTACTAAAAGTCGTGTTTATTATTGAAAATTAAAATCAATTTTTACCTGCTGCATGTTCCCTAACTTTGAACTTTAACATTTTTTTGCTTTTGAAGATTTTTTTATTTATTTTGTCTTTTTAAAGCTTTTATTATATTTAACTAGCTATACCCTGTTTGCTTGCTACCCAAAAATCAATATAAATTAAAAAGAGACTTTACGGTTTTTAAAGACTCTAGCTATAAAAGTTTCCAGATATACGAGTTTTTGTGTGGGAGCCCCTTATTGAAAGTCCACCAAATTATTCCCCAAATATTTACATGGATGTCAGAGTTCTTCGTGCAAAATTTGATGATTCTAGCTCTAACAGTTTCCCAGATATAAGAATTTTTGTACTTAATTCAAATGGGAGGTGCCAATCCTCCCTAATGATAGCCCGCCCATTTTTCTCCCAAATGTTCACATGGATGTTAAAGTTCTTCGTTCAAAATTTTAAGATTAAAAACAAAAAAAAAAAAATGATAGTGACGCCAATATATTCCAAATTTCTTGTGTGCGCTAAAATTAATCACAAATGCAAATGGAACAAGTAAGAGTTCTATTAATTTTTAAAAACATAATATTTTTGTTCAATTTTTAAACCGTGAGCGTATGAGAAATTTTCTGAAGAGGAAATTACTCTAAAAACGCTTCTAATAATTTTGGTCAGATTTTCAGGCCAAATATCCCTCTGTGTGGCGTAATTAAAACATTAAGACACTCTATAAATATTTTTTTACAAATGAATATAGAATGTCCTATCTGGCCCGTTTTTACACCCTGAAAGGTTTGCAGTCACAAAAGTACTTTAGTAATTAATACATACATTTATAAGTTTTGAGAGATAAAACACAAATATTTCCACGTTAGAATAAAAAATGAAAGTTATATAAGACAGTACTACCTTTTTGTGCCTTTCTGGTCCAAGATAAAAAAGTAATACAGCCTATTGACGTTTCCATAGCTTAATGTTTAATAATTTCAAAATTCAGAGTTTAGACCCCCTAAAATTGAAAAATCTGACACTGTGCGATGGTGAATTTATCATAGAGTTTAAGAATCCATGAGTAGCCTACGTTTCAAACCTACATCTCAACATGGTAAGTTTTTGTACGAAGCGAACTGGTTGTGGCGGTCACCGAGTAAGCGAATTCAAATACAACTCATCAACATATAGCACCAAACAAATGAAACAGAAAAGAACTCGATATATAAAAGTTAACGGTAGCTATCAATGATAAAATTAGTCGACAGAGAACAAAAAGCCGTAAAGTTTAGCACATATTAATGTAAGTGCCGGTTCACACAGGGAAAATTTTGATTTTCTGTGTGAGAGAAACAGATGGTTGATATTTCTTTCTGTTTCTCTCACACACAAAAATCAAATGTTTCCCAAAAAATTTTCCTGTGTAAACCGGCACTGGTGTACGCCAATTAAACAACCGAGTTTGATTTATTTCTAAATTACTTTCACACCTATCAAATATTTGACAAAAAAACCTAACCACTATTTATACCCTACACCACTTTAGTGGGGAGGGTATATTGGATTTGTGCTGATGTTTGTAACATACAAAAATATTTGTCCTAGACCCACCTTAAAGTATACCAATCGGCTTAAAATCGTTTTCTCAGTCGATTAAGCTATGTCCGTCCGTCCGTCCGTCCGTCTGGCTGGCTGGCTGTCCATGTAAACTTTGTGCGCAAGGTACAGGTCGCAATTTTCAAGATAATTGGATGAAATTTGACCTAAGGACGAAGCCTATTGAAAATGGTTAAAATCGGTCCATTATTTCACCTAGCCCCCATAGAACAGAACCCCCCGAAAAGGGCTTCTGAGCTCATAATTATGTTAAATATACAGATATATCGGTAAAATACGGCACAACTAAGTTTTATAGAAGTCTTGATGACCCTGCCAAATTTCATAAAGATCGGGCCACATTTGACCCTAGCTCCCATACAAAGTCCCCTTCAGAAAATTACTTGAATGTCCCAAATTAGCTTATAAACACAAATATCGCGATGAAATTCAGCACAATAAAATATTATGTCAATATAAATATATTCACAAAATTTTATCGGGCTTGGTCCATATTTGCCCCTAGCCCCCATATAAAGCCTCTTTCAGAAAATTAGTTTTTCATCCATAAATTGCTTAAATGTATCGGAACAAGGGAATATTGAAGATAAATGCTTTATTATGAAAAATAAATCACATTTAATATTCATAACTGGTGTAGGGTATCATATGGTCGGCCCCGCCCGACTATAATTTCTTACTTGTTTTTGTATTATTTTGATCTTGCGTGATTTTTGTAATTGCTAATCATGTCGAAACAAATAATAAAGACGCTCTAAATAGATAAGTTCAAAGATATATTATGTCTATATAAATAAATATACATATGTTTAAAAGAAATTAAAGTGTGGATTTTTTAGGGGTCACGTCATTTTCGTCAAAGATTTGATAGGTGTGAACTTAGCTTAAACAATATAATTGTAACAAAAAGCGGGATTTTTTTATTAAAAAGCGCGATTAAAATCTAAGTCCAGATCAACCTTTAAAATAATCCCACTTTTGGCGGGATCTCTCGTCGCTAATGTAATGTATTGAAACGCGCGGAGTTTGGTTGACAACAAACTTTTATTAATGATAAAGGGATAGAATTTCAAGTGATATTAAAACTATGTGTTTAACTTCAATATATGTATACTTAAAAGTATTGAGATGTTAATGTAATAATACATATAATAATCCAAATGTGACAATAAAGTTATATTTTTGAGAGTGCTTAACGCATTGTTAGAGATAAAGTAATCCCTTAACGTTTTGAGCATTCAATTAATTAATTGTTTCAATCAACGACTTAATTGATTTTTAATAAATTTTTCATTTGATTAATAAACTAATTACTTACCGACTGTAGCTGTAATAGCTCTTTCACGAACAAGTGAATTTCCACGATGAACCTCTTGGTGTGTATGTATTTGACGGAGGACATGAAAATTAACAGGGTTGCATCTTTATCTAATGTCCTTGTTGGGTAATTTGATTTCCTGAAAAGTAAATTATAAAAAATTTAAAAATTTGCTTTATTATGTTTGACATGAATCTTAAAATTAAGAATTTTCTTTTCTTGGTAACTTTTTTATTATACGATTTCATTCTACGATTTAAATCTAAGTTTCATTCTACGATTTAAATCTAAGTTTTAAAATTTACACTAGGGTGTCGCTTTGGGCGATTACTACCTTTGACATGTAAAACAAATTTATATTTTTCTGAAAGTTACTATGATCACGCAGAGCAATTTAGTATAAACAAGTAAGAGTGCTACATTCGTCTGTACCGAATAATATATACCCTTCACCATAGTGTTAAATTTAAGAATTTTGAAATTTTTTCTTTAATTTTTCAAAAAAAAAAAATCGCATTTCGTTTATAAATGCTTTCCGATCTCTGCACAGTGTTCGATTTTCAAATTTTGCTGGCCAAAACGCCAAAAATTATCTTAAAAAAGGATAAAAATTACATTCGAGTTTAAAACAGGGACCGAAAATAATAATAATTTTTTTCGAACAGAAATAAAAGTTATTTTTTAACTTTTATTTTTTTACCAAAGTTATGACTTTTATTATAAAAGTCACAAAATAAGTGTTATTTTTTTGAGCAGAAATAAAAGTTATTTTTTGAGAAGAAATAAAAGTTTTCACTATAGAATCGTTTATTTTCCAGTAATCGAAAGATAACTTTTATAACTGCTCAAAAAATAACTTTTATTTCCGCTCAAAAGAATAAAAGTCAAAAAATAATTTTTATTTCTGCTCAAAAGAATAAAAATCAAAAATTAACTTTTATTTTTGCTTAAAATAATAAAAATCAAAAATAACTTTTATTTATGGTCGAAAAAAAAGTAAAAAAATAACTTTTATTTCTGACCGAAAAAATAAAGATCAAAAAATAACTGTTATTTCTGCTCAAAAAAATAAAAGTAAAAAAATAACACTTATTTTGTGACTTTTATAATAAAAGTCATAACAGTTACGGTCCCTGGTTAAAAAACTATCCAGTGTAGATGCTTCTTCGCTCATTTTAGCTAAAATATAACATTAGCAGCATTTTTTAAACAATTGTATTTATTAAATCCAAATTTTAGTTCTTGCACTGTACGCCAGGTGGATAAGGCAAGAGGTTTTAATCGAGGCTAAATAAATTTCAAATCATAATGTCAGAAGCGGCCAACAGATGGAGTTATTTCAAAATTTAATATTACAATTAGAATTTTTCCATACAAATTTTAACAATTTGTTGCAAAAAGTGTTATTTGCACAGAAATAACATGAAGTGGAACAATCAAGTTACAAGATTTTATTATTTTATTATTTTTCTCTTTTTTTCACATTTTAAAAAATATTTGCCATCTTGTGAATAGCAAAATGAAACAAATTTATTTCTTTGAAAATTATTTTGGTTTTGTTCTATGAATACAAAGCATTGCCATATTGAAATTAGCTAAATCTAACTATTTTTTGGATTTAATTAATCCAAATTTAATTTACTTCTTTTAGCTACAGAACCACCATTTTTGCACTGAAATAAATTTTTCTTTGACCTTCTATTAGCTTATACAGTGTATTTTCAGATAATGATGACCAAAACTTTTTCTTGAAATAAAATAAATCCAATATAAATCCAGTGATTAAAAAAGCCCCTATTATATGCTTATAATGTTAAAATGAATGTTGCGTACAAAATGAAAAAGAACAAGTAAGAGTGTTATATTCGACTATACCGAATCTTATATACCCACCATCAAACCGTATGCCGTAAATGTAATGCTCCCCTATAAACATTCATTTGACATTTGAAATAGGGCTTAAGTCAATTATGGACACATCCCTTTCGGATTAACAAAATATTAATCTTTAAAAGAAAAATATTTTTGTCCAACTTTTAAACGATGCACATATGTATATGCAGTGGCGAGCATATCTGATACATATCAATCAAGTTTATATTAAAAACTCAATAAAATCCAGAAAATATTAAAAAAATTTAGATATTTGATTTAAAATATGCAATAGAAGAATAAGAAAATAAAACAATAGAAAATTCGCGAATTTTATCTCAAGTTTTAGCCAATTTTATTAAAAAAGTCAATGTATCCACTTTTGCACGTTTAAATTTAATTAATGTAGCAACACAAATAATTAATTAATTTAATTAATGTAGTAACACAATAGCAATGAATTTGAGCACTGCTTCTTGATTTACCTTTGAAGAAAGCGTCAAAACAAACAGTTACCATTTTTGTGTCAAATTTGTAATTTTTTGCAAAAATTTTAATTTTCAAGTTTTAATAAGAAAAATATCAAGTTTATTGGAAAACCAAATGGTCGAAATGTAGCGAAGAGTGCTACAAGTGCGAAACAGAAAAAATATGAGCACACCAGAAGTTAAGAAAGGTCGATCGTGCTTGCTTTCGGAGAGAGATGCCAGAACTATGGAGCGTTTATTGACACAAACACCAAAAAAAGACTCTTGTCACCATAAATAAGCTCTTAAGTAAATAGACAGTCCGGAGAGCTCTTCGTAGAATTGGCCTTATATCAGCCATAAATCAGAAAACACCAGCGTTATCAGAAAAAATGTGAATGATCGTCTTAAATTTTCCAAAAAGCACAAAAATTGCATTGTTGATGACTGGAAAAGGGTTATATGGTCCGATGAAACGAAGACTAATCGCTTTCAGTCTGATGGTAAGGAATATTACTGGCACCGCCCTTATGGAAGCTTAAAAAAGCACCAAGTAAAAGAAATGGTGCAACATGGGGGGTGGTAGTCTGATGGTGTGAGCTTGTTTCACTTGGTAGAATATCGGTCCTTTAGGAAAATTAAATGCTATAATGAAAAGGAGGATTATTTGAGCATTTTCAATCCAATATTCCAGATTTTGTGGAAGAATGTGCATATCCAGAGTCAGAGGTTATACTCCAACAGGATGGGGATCCGAAGACTATGGCAGAAATCGTAAAGAATTAGTTTTCATCGCAGAATTTTCAAACGATGCAATGACCAACTCAATGTCCGGAAATCAATCCAATTGAAAATTTATGTGCTTTGTTAAAAAAACGTCTTGCGAAATACGATAATGCACCAAGAATACAAAGGGAGTGGGCTAATATTCCGCACCGGACCATTGAGACCTTGGTAGTAGTACGCCAAAACGTATAAAAAGTGTCATAAAAGCTAAAGGACTTAGCTTAAACACGGGCAGACGTGGCTAAATCGCCTTAGAATTTAATAAGGACCCAGAATATATATGTATACTTTTGTGGGTCTCTGATCAATATTTCGATGTATTACAAACGGAATGACAATATCAATATATATGTATATGGTGGGTATACAAATAAAATAAATCAATAAAAGTCCCTAAATATATATAACAATTTTTATTGCAGAAAACATAAACTTTACTACATATTTAATATCAATTCAGGTACAAATAGTAGATTTTTTATTAAAATAAAATATTTTATTATTTTTCTCTTTTTTTCACATTTTAAAAAATATTTGACATCTTGTGAATAGCAAAATGAAACAAATTTATTTCTTTGAAAATTATTTTGGTTTTGTTCTATGAATACAAAGCATTGCCATATTGAAATTAGCTAAATCTAACTATTTTTTGGATTTAATTAATCCAAATTTAATTTACTTCTTTTAGCTACAGAACCACCATTTTTGCACTGAAATAAATTTTTCTTTGACCTTCTATTAGCTTATACAGTGTATTTTCAGATAATGATGACCAAAACTTTTTCTTGAAATAAAATAAATCCAATATAAATCCAGTGATTAAAAAAGCCCCTATTATATGCTTATAATGTTAAAATGAATGTTGCGTACAAAATGAAAAAGAACAAGTAAGAGTGTTATATTCGACTATACCGAATCTTATATACCCACCATCAAACCGTATGCCGTAAATGTAATGCTCCCCTATAAACATTCATTTGACATTTGAAATAGGGCTTAAGTCAATTATGGACACATCCCTTTCGGATTAACAAAATATTAATCTTTAAAAGAAAAATATTTTTGTCCAACTTTTAAACGATGCACATATGTATATGCAGTGGCGAGCATATCTGATACATATCAATCAAGTTTATATTAAAAACTCAATAAAATCCAGAAAATATTAAAAAAATTTAGATATTTGATTTAAAATATGCAATAGAAGAATAAGAAAATAAAACAATAGAAAATTCGCGAATTTTATCTCAAGTTTTAGCCAATTTTATTAAAAAAGTCAATGTATCCACTTTTGCACGTTTAAATTTAATTAATGTAGCAACACAAATAATTAATTAATTTAATTAATGTAGTAACACAATAGTAATGAATTTGAGCACTGCTTCTTGATTTACCTTTGAAGAAAGCGTCAAAACAAACAGTTACCATTTTTGTGTCAAATTTGTAATTTTTTGCAAAAATTTTAATTTTCAAGTTTTAATAAGAAAAATATCAAGTTTATTGGAAAACCAAATGGTCGAAATGTAGCGAAGAGTGCTACAAGTGCGAAACAGAAAAAATATGAGCACACCAGAAGTTAAGAAAGGTCGATCGTGCTTGCTTTCGGAGAGAGATGCCAGAACTATGGAGCGTTTATTGACACAAACACCAAAAAAAGACTCTTGTCACCATAAATAAGCTCTTAAGTAAATAGACAGTCCGGAGAGCTCTTCGTAGAATTGGCCTTATATCAGCCATAAATCAGAAAACACCAGCGTTATCAGAAAAAATGTGAATGATCGTCTTAAATTTTCCAAAAAGCACAAAAATTGCATTGTTGATGACTGGAAAAGGGTTATATGGTCCGATGAAACGAAGACTAATCGCTTTCAGTCTGATGGTAAGGAATATTACTGGCACCGCCCTTATGGAAGCTTAAAAAAGCACCAAGTAAAAGAAATGGTGCAACATGGGGGGTGGTAGTCTGATGGTGTGAGCTTGTTTCACTTGGTAGAATATCGGTCCTTTAGGAAAA